GATGGAAGATCCGGATTTGAGAGCGAGAGTTCTACCACCTGGTTTACTAACACCTAAAGTTACTAAGACAAACACTCGTGTAGAGAATGCTGCAGTATCTCATATGAGGAAAGAAAAGAAAGAAGTGGAAGGAAAAGTGGTAGGAGAAGGAGAAGAAGTGAAGAATGTACCATCAGGATTGAATGAAGTCCCACTTTCTCTTGTTTCTCCCATTCCATCTTCTATCAAAACTACCTCGACACCAGTGGAAGGTAGTGGAAAGAGAATGGATAGTATAGACAGTGGTCTTGGGCAGACACTTCCTTCTTTTTCTGCCAATGACCCCAACCAATCCACCTCGTTGCCTCATGAACCTTCATCGTCCAAAGGATCCAGATTGTCTTCTGCTCCTAAGATTTGGCAACCTTACCTTTAGTTGGTGTTTTTTGTATTTTGTCATTGTTGTAATTATCCTTACAAATTTTATACATCTTCTGACTATGTATATTACTTTGGTAAAAGTCGATGCTTATCAATGGTCAGTTACTTTAAGCAAAAGGATTTATTTATATCAAATGGCAGGCGTTTTGTTATCAATAGTCTTTTAGTTGATTTCTGGCTACCCAGCTAGGAGTAACATCAAGGTCGCAAAATGTCGAAGGGGGGGGGTGTCAGGAGCTTGATTCACATATGTAAAAGTGGCAGACACAGAGGTAGAGAAAGCGGTAAGGTGAAATGAGGAATGTGTAAATGGTGGAATGTGACATACACTCTGGTCATGGTAGTTTGAATTGAGAAGTCAACTGCTGGTTTATAAACTTTTTGCCGTATATGTATCCGCTGTCCGGGTTGCACCACGATCAAGATTAACGTCCCCATAGTTCGAACCAGATCATTCTGAAGTGGAAAGGAAACAGAAGAGCATTAATACTCTTTTGTAGTCCATTATTTCATCAGCTTTCACTTTATCTTTGTCATTTGAAATAAATAAATAAATATATGAAATCTCAGTAGTTAGTTTATTCATTTGACAGGCTCGAAGCATCAGGATATAAATAAGCTGGACTTATGCGAAAGAAGAGATTAAATAATTCACCTTAGTGACGTGGAGCATAGAAATTGCAGATGGCCAAATAGGCCACATATTCAGTCAGTGGGAAAGTTAGTCAATCATTATTTTACCTAACCCCATAAGTGCTCTTCGATCGCAGCTTTCACGATATGACGCATTGATCAACATTCTAGTAAGGTCATTATGAGGTTTTTAGAATTAAACTGTACAACAGCCATTTGGCTTAGTAGTGTGTCCATTAGTAAGGTTTTGGGAAGCCCAAATTTGTCTGCTGACTGACCTGATCAACAGAAGAATTTTCCTGCACTGTTTGCTTTCGCCTTATGAATTTGTGGATATTAGGTCACGGTTAATTTTGAAACGTTGGAATCACAATCGCTCTGATGGAATTGGCGTGTCCTCACTTACTTTCCACAATTTTCTTAATGTTTTAATAAATTCTCTCGTGACTCTTCCAATTAATATTCAACCAATTAAGGAGCAAATCATTTTACTGCGATCAAGTCTGCATTGTCAAGAGTGGGTTAGTCATTAACATTGTCTGATGATTAGCAGCCAATTTTGAAACGAGAATTAGAAAATGCTTTTCATTGACTGTTAAGCTTTACTGTTGAATGAGGCAATTTAATTTCCAAATACCCAACAAATGTGTTAACTAATTTAAGTAAGAGTTATAGAAACTGAAAAGGTTTAGTAATTCGGACATCGAAGTTACTTGAATGTGAACGTACTAGCCAGCCACGTGAATGAATGTCGCCGTATGAGTATACGTTGCCCAGGGTGCACCACGTGGAGGTAAGTTTATCGCGCACCCCGAGTTAGAAAGTAAATAAATATTTTGAAAAATTTGCACTATTTATATCTCATCCCCAATTCGGATGGTTCCCAGGTTGAACGTATAGTCCAATAGGCAGAATTTATGGTTAGTTGGTTGGTTGGTTTTGCATGCATAGGCTGAACTTAGCCTCCCATCCAAGATGACTTAAAGTGTGGATTTCTTGAAAACGCGACAGAATAAATCAGACAAAGGGAGCTGTAGGACATAAGTTTCCATTCAACTGGAAATGACCCACATTTTACGATTACTTCCCCTAATGTCACCAAAGTGTGACAGTGAGGGGAAGAAAGAGCTGCCGGCACTTGGAGCCCATCAATTCTAAGCCAACTTCAAAGTTTCAAGAACCATTATTAGTGAAGCATGCCAGGTGGGCCTGCCATAGAAGACCCATATTTGATTAGAGTATGTTCAACCCGACACCATGCGTTTTATTCTAGTTTTCACTCACCTCATTTAAGCAACAAAAAGCAGAATTGACGTATACAAGAGTTAAATTCATAATCAGAAATAATTCGCAGTTAGAAAATAAGTTTGGCGAGAAAGAGTTCCTCAATCTATTACACATTCTCAAGTAAGTGGAGTAAAATGCTGTATAATTTAATGCTGTACAATTTAAGAAAGATAGTCATTTAACGGATTGTAAATCATGTGGGTGGGTGGAATATTCATATCTGCCTCCTGACTAAATGTTGGATGGTATTGTTGAACGATTATCTCCCCAAATTAAATAATTAATTAATTGCGTAAAAACACCAGCAAGCATCAAGGATCGTGTCCTTTGGCAATGTTGT